GTAGGTTAGCTTTTTAAAAAGGAATTTTTATTAGAGAAATTAGAACTTTTTATATAATATTTTTTCTCCTCTAAAAAGTTGTTGAAGTTAACAATTTTAGGGCCCCCCTGGTGGCATGAGGGATTAATCTTAGCACTATCAAGCTATTACCAGCTGTATAACCTGTGTTCTTCAATCCTCAGCCAGAGAGCTAACCCACATATCAAGGTCTCTCCTTCCTTCAGCAGTGTAATTCAGTAGATCTTCTGTTCTAGTCTCCACTCTGCCTTTAGTAAATCCTCTCACCCCCACACCTTTGTCCTATACTCCAGTTCTTGTATGCATAAAAAAATAAAAATAAATCTTTTTAAAAATTAATTTTAAAGCAGTAGCTTTACTAGAACTGTCACAGGCAGGATACTCAGATTGAATTTATAAACCATCACTATGTGATCTCATATATGAAAAAAGGTGGATCGTTTTCCACTGTTGCAAAAAAAAGAGTTTTGAAAGTTACAGAGTTTTATTCTGAATCTCAGTTTCACAACCTCAAAGAGTTCTGCAGTTTATTACTGGGAACTAGAAATGTAAGAAGTATTTAGAAAATGTATTTAAACTAGCATTGTGCAGTTTGTAAAAGCATATGTCTGGGAAATTAGAAATTATCTTCATTCAGGAAAGAAACTTGGTCCATTTTGTCCTCTCACCAAAAATAAAACTGACAGTTGTTGTTTTCTTGTTTCAGAATTAAAATATTAGAGATGTTTAATACTCATAATCTGCAGTCTGTGTTCTCTCGGCTTATTGAACCTCCACACTCTGATTCTCTCCGTGCCTCAAAAATACGATTACGAGACTTGGGAGCATTAACTTCAGATGAAAAGCTGACCCCTCTCGGGTATCACTTGGCCTCTCTGCCCGTGGACGTGAGAATTGGCAAACTGATGCTGTTTGGATCTATCTTCCGCTGTCTGGACCCTGCTCTCACTATTGCTGCCAGTTTGGCCTTCAAGTCTCCTTTTGTAAGTGAAGAACCTTTCATCTCAGTTGGAGCTCACTGTTCTCGAAGGGGACCTTGCTGAGTTTACGTGTGTGCTCAGGAGCAGTGAGAATTAAGGTCTCTGCCCATTTTGCTAATTTGTAGAGAAAACTGAAACCTGTAGACAATGTATATACATTGTGTAGTGACAATGTACATAAAAAATAGGAACAAAACATTACTTTAGGTATGGAAGTTGGGGAGATGAAAGTTTAAGTAATGAATAAAATCGGTAAGGTAAGGCTATCACAAAGTGAACAGGATTTTAGGTTTTAGATCTAGCTTTTAAGAATGAATGATGCTTTGATGGCATCTCATCAGTTGGATCTGAAAGACTCAGAAGAGTTTATTTTGGATGTGCAGACAGACTCACAAAGATAAATAAGACTATTAACTTGCCACTTATCAGCCTCCCGCTGGCTCCACACACACCATTCCCAGGGCACCTGGTTTCAGCAGGAAGAAAATATCATTCAAAACACCAAGTGAAAACTTGCTTTTTCTCATTCAGGTATCTCCCTGGGATAAAAAAGAGGAAGCTAATCAGAAAAAGCTAGAATTTGCATTTGCAAACAGTGATTATCTGGCCCTCCTACGCGCTTATAAGGTAAGTATATCATCTGCTAGCTGAGGTTTATTATCAGAATTGGTATTAGTGACAGTATCAATTCATTTTGATTTTCTCTATAATTTAGGGATGGCAGCTGAGTACAAAAGAAGGTATGCGTGCAAGTTATAATTACTGTAGACAGAACTTCTTATCGGGAAGAGTTCTTCAGGTGAGTGGTTTCTGGGGCAATTTGTTTTCATCATTTTCTATTGTAGTAACTCACCAGAAGTGTTGCAACTTTATCTTGCTTGCCCTGTGCTGACACTGAAAATGTTATTTTTGGAATATGCTTGGCTTCACCAGCTATGTAAATCAGACTCCTGAACTGCATCAGACCTTCTCTGCTAAACTTTTCAACTGAGCTGTGTTTTCTACTTTTCAGTGAGTTTGTGTTTACTGATGATAGGAAGATACTGGAATTCATTTTTTTTTCCAGTAATTATTCTGGGCATTCTTAACCAGGATCAAAAAATCCCTGAAATTATATGTAAAATCATATGCGTTCAGCTATGTGCATTGTTCTAGAGAAAGGTACCATAGCTGGAAAAGCCCCCAGCCCCTTACCTTCCCCCAGAACCAAATAAATACCAAACAAATAATCGTTAATTGTTCTTGTGTCTATCAGAAACTATGTCAATAATGAATACACAAGAAAGAGAAAGGTTTATTCTCTGCTGTCTAATAATAGCCAGGACTCTGCTCTGCGGCAGCACTGCTTGGGGCCCCTTTCCAGCGCCGTGTGAGAAGCCAGAGTAACGATGCGCATGTCTTTGCAGAGCATGTATTTTATTCAAAGATTTTGATCTGGATAGCAGGAAAAGACTTCATTGTCATATTGAAAGATGTCCTGGGGTAGAACACAAAATTAATTTTCTTACTACTTAGCCACTGAGACCCATTTATTTATCTCTCTTTTCCAAGAGCTCCATCAAAACAGAGATGCTGCTTGTTCGACACTGTCTCCAGAGCCTAGAACAGTGCTAAGCGTGTACAGTTGTTACTCAGTAAAGGTTCATGAATAAATACATGAGTGAGTGAATTCAGTTTCTTTAGATGGAGAGCTCAGAAACCAGTATTTGCCTTCATTCTCCTCTGCAGTGAGACATTTTCAGAAGACAAAGTCTGTGGCTTTATTCTAAGTACATCAAAAACATTAATTTCCAATAATGTGCAATCTTAGTGGCACTTTAGATTCACCTGAATTGAATAAAAAAAAAAAAAGATGCCTACTCTGGGCCATTTATATCCAGGTCTCTAGAGGTGAGACCTAAGCACCTTTGTTGAGGGTTACTCAGGTGTTTCTGATATGCAGCCATGGCTGAGAGCTGCTGGTCTAAAGGGTATTTTATATGTAATAAAGAAAATAAATGTACTAATAAATATCTGCTTGCACTGTTAAGATGTGTAAGGGTAAAATGAGGATATTTCTTATAAATTTCTTACTAAACTTATTCTTTTTCTTAACAATATAGGTAGATTTTGTTGTCATTTATGAGGTCCATCAAGCAGAGTCCTTTTCAATATACTCCAGCATAAATTGTTACATTGTTTTTATTAAAATGTAAATTAAAATCTTGTCATGAAATAAGCTTGACACATTTAGCTTCTAGTTATATTTTGCCATGTATACTTGAGACAGCCCCAAAAAATACTAAGTTGTCAAGAGATGGAGTGACATGGCTTAGTTTACAGGCCTTTGATTGTCATCGTCTGATATCCAGCCTGTATTTGAACTGAAACCACAAGAGAAAAAAGGTTTTGCTTTTCTTTCTCATACTTGTGCTTGGCTACAAAAAAGGGTGTCTGAATCTGAAGCATTTAAAATGTCCCTATTCCTAAGGGAAAATGTGAGCCAGCGAGACCACAAGGTACAAGAAAGAGACAGTTCTGCTGAGGTGGGTGTTCTGTGCCCTCTGAGAGAGAACACTAACCACTCTTGGCTCTGATCAAACATGATGGAACCTGAACAGAAATGCAAGCAGGAAAAACTAGATAGTGTTCTGAACTGGTGTTCCAAAAAAGTAAATTGCATCTTTGGCAGTTCTAAAAATTTCCAGGAAGTCAGACTTACCCAAAATCCAATGTGTTTGTTAAATGTAATCTAGAGGTAAATAAATTATCTTTGGGTTTTCTGAAATTTCTAGATTTCTGTGTAACTGTTTCATTCTGTCTGTTGGTTTGCATAAATGAAAACTGCCTTTTGGGAAATGACCAAACAAGATCACCTTCATAGCTGAACCCCTATGAGTTGCATTAGCATAATGTGTTTTTTATTTTTAATTTTTTTTTTAAGATGTATTTGTTAAAAAAAAAAAAAGATGTATTTGTTTATGTATGCAGAACCGGAGTATAGGTCAGAGGGGGGGGGGGGGGGATTCGCCAGAGACAGAGGGAGGAGCAAAACAGGCAGATCAATGAAGTACACAAGTGAGGGGAGCAATGGGCAGATCAGGAGAGATCATGCCATTTGGGTCATCTCCAGGGGCGGGAATGAAACTTGTGCTGTAGTGGCTTTCATCGTTTCATAGCGCTGTGCTTTAACCCCTTGAACCACCAGGGAGGGTCCCATAATGAGTTTTTTAAGTTGCTGCTTTCATAAGACTTTACAGTGATCTTTGATGTGTTAAAATCTCTGCATAAAGATTTCTTCCACTTCTTTCAGGAAATGGCCAGCCTTAAACGACAATTCACTGAACTGTTATCCGACATAGGGTTTGTAAAAGAGGGACTCAGAGCAAGGGAAATTGAGAAAAGGGCCCAAGGAGGAGACGGTATCTTGGATGCCACAGGAGAGGAGGTAAAAAATGTGTAGTTACTTCATATTTATATTTAATGTAGCACCTGAATAATATATCAGCTCAGAAACATTTACAAACATTCTTCTTCACTTAAGCTCTATGAGCAGTAGGGTAGTGACATTCTTGATTTTCTTCTTTCCACAAATAGATGTCAACTGACACTTGTAAAAATAGGAGGGTTTCCTATTGCTATTGTTTTGTTTTTTTAAATTTCACAGTTGTTCTTGATAAATCCTTAAGATATTGAATAGATTTTCCTTAATACCTTCTTAAAATAGAATAGCCTTATTCTAACCAAAGATAGCGTTTATACAGAATGGTAGGAAGACTACTTCTTCAAGACAAACCTGATGCCACATTGTTCTAAGGGCAGTTGATACTTTCTCGAATTCAGGAACATCTCATGAATTAGAACCGTAAGTTTTTCTGACCTGTGCGAAGACTGCCTTTATTAACAGCTTTGCAGAGATTTGGGAATTCTTGTGGGTTTCTAAGAGTGGATCTTAAGTGAATGTGTTTAGTAGATTTATTTTCTACTTAGAAACAAATAATTTTTCAGCAAAGAGAAATTAGATGTTTTCACTTTTGTTTAAGATAGAAATCTAATAAAATATAATGGTAAATTCCAGAGCCAAGCCAAAGTAACCACATTACTAATAAATATTGTATTTTTCTCATAGGCAAACTCAAATGCTGAGAACCCCAAGCTGATATCAGCGATGCTGTGTGCTGCTCTGTATCCAAATGTAGTACAGGTAACAAAACACTTTTGCCAGGATTTTCCTGGTTTTTGTTTGATTTTAGCCAAAGGAACGTGCATATTAATCCTCTTAAAGAGATACACACACATACTCATGCAGGCTTTAAACTTAGTACACACTTCCAGTCCTTTAATTCCCCAATTATATTTAGACATGTCATTTAAGAATACATTTATTGTATAAAATAAGGTGCCTCTTTAATCCTTCTGGTATACTATGACAGTACAGAAATTAAAATGGACATAAAAGTCACTGATAGCCAACCTGTACATAACTAACCTTTCAAACAGAATCAAACAGAAATTTGATTCTACTAGCTTCCCTTTTATCCACTACTATGGACCAAAATTAGCTAAGAACAAAATCTAACAGTGTTTTGCCATGGCCAGCCTTCTGGAACCCCTCTTGAAGTGTGCTGCTGGACTTTTACCCTAGTTTTATTTATTTAGTCCTTGTCAAACTCAGAAATAATTTGAATTTGTCAGAATTTAACTTTTTGTTAAATGCTTGGTTGACATCTGTTGATTAATTTTTGACTTATTCACCTTAGTACTTGCATACTCTTCAAATAATTTGAAATTTACTTCAAAAAATCATTTGGAATGGTGGGGGGAGGGAAGTGCACTGGACTATGGTGATGGCACATGGGTGACTTGGTGATGGGAAACACACGGGGATTACAATTGAGATGAAAAAAATGTACCAAATGATGTAAAAATAAGCTATTATATTATGTAAAAAAAAAAAATTATTTGGGCCCTCCCTGGTGGCGCAGCGGGTTAAAGCAAACCACTGAGAAGCTAACGCCACTTCAGCATGAATTCAATCCCTGCTCGTGCCAGAGGTGACCCACATGGCACTGCAGACGTCTTCTGACCCACCTGCTACTCCCTTCAGCAGTGTACTTTGACGATCTGCCTGTTTTGCTCCCCACTCTGTCTCTGGTGAATCCTCTCACTGCTCCTGCACCTCTGGCCTGTACCCCAGTTCTATATGCAAAAATAAATAAATCTTTTTTTAGAAAAATCATTTGGAGTAAAACTATGAAAAAAGTAAAAAATATCAAATTGGAGGGGATGAAAGTAGAAGATTTTTAGAGTTTGGAACTATTCTATGATACCATCATGGATACATATAAATATTCCCATTCCCAGAGAATATACAACACAAAGAGTTAAACTCTTTGTGTGATTATAAGACAATTTTTTTTTTTTCAGTCATAATACCGGTATTTCCATAAGCTCCCAAAAATGAACTTTCTCAATCCTGGTGATTATATAGATACACCCTTCCTAGACAACATTTTCATTTCTAAGGATTTCTTACTCTGAAATAATGTATTTGTGCTATAAAGTCAGAACTAGAAGAATTTCTATAGAAGCACTGTTAAAACTGCAAAGCAATCTAAAATTCCAATATTAGGGAATTTATTGGTAAAATTATTATAAATCCTTATAACAAAGTACTTGGTAGCTATGAGACTTGCCTTAGGAAGCTGTCTAACATGGAAACATTCTCTGTTGTTTCAAAAGTAGGTTATAGAAAACATATTTCAAACTGTATTTGAATTTATATGTGTATGGTTTTCTCTATTTCAAAATGTAAATCTAGCAGAGAAAACTAAATGGTTTATCAAATACCAATGCTAGTTTTTTTGTTTTTTTTTTAAGATTTTATTTTATTTGTGCATACAGAACTGGGGTACAGGCCAGAGGCTCAGGGGCGGTAAGAGGCTTCACCAGAGACAGAGCGGGGAACAGAACAGGCAGATCGACAAAGTAAACTGCTGAGGGGAGCAGCGGGCGGGCCAGGAGAGGTCTGCCATGCCATGTGGTCACCTCCAGGGCAGGCAGGAATCAAACTCATGAGGAAGCGGCTTTAGATTCTCAGTGCTGTGCTTTAACCCTCTGCGCCACCAGGGAGGGCCGCTAGTTATTTTTAATTGTAGATTATAGCAGGTCTTTATTTTCTTTTTTCTGATATGTTATTGTGTACAGTAAACATGTATTGTTTTTTGCATTACATATACATACAATCCATACGTAAACATTGTATGCACAGTTGCTTTTTTTTTCCCCCAAATGAAATAATCAGTACATTTATAAATTTTTATTTCACTGTGTTTTGAAAATCACTTGGGATCGGGATTGATATCAAAGTTCTGGTCAAGTGTTGCCAGCTAATCTCAGTACCTGTTAGTCAGTACAGACCAGAAAGATCAGCATTTTCTCTCCTTTGTGGCTGCTCTGCAGTATAGCCAGCCAGAGTTGTTGTGCCTATATCCACACTATGAGTGGTGAAAAAAAAAAAAGTGTTCTTATATTATTTTTAAAAAGAAACAGGGAAGATGGGGCCCTCCCTGGTGGTGCAGCACGTTAAAGCACAGCACTACGAAGCTCTGCAGTCACTGCAGCATGAGTTTGATCCCCGGCTAGGGAGCTGACCCACATGGCGTGGCAGACCTCTCCTGACCCGCCCGCTGCTCCCCTCAGCAGTGTACTTCATCGATCTGCCTGTTCTGCTCCCCACTCTGCCTCTGGTGAATCCTCTCACCTGGCCTTTACCCCAATGCTATATGCATAAATAAATAAAAATATTTAAATTTTAAAAAAAGGAAGAAACAGTAATGGCATTCAGACAAGGCATACTTTGTACCAAGGGATACATCATGCGGTGGAAATATATATTGTTATAAATGTATATATCTGTTTTTGCAAATACCTGTATAGGTGAAAAGCCCAGAGGGAAAATTTCAGAAGACCAGTACTGGAGCTGTCAGAATGCAGCCAAAATCAGACGAATTGAAGTTTGTCACCAAGAACGACGGATACGTGCACATTCATCCTTCATCGGTGAACTATCAGGTCAGCATAGCGGGATGTGCTTTGACTTGCATATGGCAAGTCCTCATTTGAGATACAACACAGACCTTTAAATTTAGCTAAACTTTGTTCTATCATTTGCTGTCCATAGCAGCACTGCTGACTTTGAAAAGGTTGAATAAGCATAAGCAGAATAGAAATTGGACTATTTCTGGAAAGGATATTTCCATTTCAAGAAAATTCTGCAGGGTATGAAAATGTGCTCAAGCCTGCTTTGAGTATAAAATTATTTCATTGCAATGGTGTTTTAAGAAACCACGATGTAATGACATCATTGAATCTCTGCTTAAAAGGGAATGAGTGACCTACACTTGCTGATCCCACTTCCACAGTATCAGCCTATGCTGTGAGGCCACCGCCCCACCCAGGCACCTCCAAGTTGTCAAGTCCATCACACGTGGACGATGGGCCTCATCATACTTCGCTCTTACACAGTCTTCACTGACTTCCTTCCTCTTGACATTATTTTTTATTTTTTTTAAAGATTATTTTTATTTATTTGTACTGTGCTTTAATCTGTTGCACCTCTTTGATTTTTCCTTGCCTCTAGAACAGCTGTGCTCATCTTCCTCAGTCTACTAGCGTCTCTTCCTTTGTTCTGAAATAATGGTTCTGTCCTTTAGTACTTCTCTTCTCTTTCTCCGGTACCTACTCTTCCTGAACTACCAGAAGACAACAGGGTGACTCTAACTGCCATCTGCATGCTAATCTCTCCCCAGTCCTGAGAAGTTTTCAGATTTCCTCTGCCTTCCAGTCTCTCAAACTCACAATCTCCCAATTCACTCTCTTTCCGTGGTCCCTGTCTTGGTAGATGATACTTTCCAGCTCAAAACCAAAAGTCCCATAGGCCCTGCTTCTTTTCTCCTTACTCCAGTCTAATTGGTTACCAGATCATAGCATTTGCACCTTTTTACATCTCTCCTGTTCACTTGCCCCTCTTACCTCCACTACTTCCTTCCAATTCAAACCCGAAATGTCTACCACTTACCTAGAGTGTCATAATAACCTTACTTCTGGGCCCTCCCTGATGGTGCAAGGCGTTAAAGCATGCTTGAAGCTATCTGCAGCCTCTGCAGCATGAATTCAATCCCCAGGCAGGGAGCTGACCCACATGGTGCGACAGACCTCTTCTGACCCAGCCAGTGCTCCTCTCAGCAGTGTATTTCAGTAGATATACCTGTTCTGCTCCCCACTCTGTCTCTCAACTTCTGTACCTCTGGCCTGTACCCCAGTTTTTGTATACATAATAAATCTTAAAAAAAAAAACAAAAAAACACCTCACTTCTGGTGCTTTCTCTCTACAACCTTTTATACTGCTGCTGCCACTATTATATTTACAAAAGATATATTTGATCATATCATCCCCTTGCTTAAAGTGTACATATGGAGAGTTCATTGCAAACTCTCATATGACCCTTTATGTCTTATCTTACTTATACCATGTCCCTCTGTCATTCTGTGTGCTACCAGACTACCAGCGGTGTCCAGTGTCTGGAATTGCATTCTTATTTCTCAGCAAGCTCCTACTTATCTTTTAAACTTCCATTAAAAATCACTTCCTTGGGCCTCCCTGGTGGCTCAGTGGGTTAAAGCGCAGCACTGCAAGTGAGCCAGCTGCTTCAGTGTGAGTTTGATCCCCACCCTAGAAGTGATCCACATGGCGCAGCAGACATCTCCTGACCCTCCTGCTGCTCCCCACTCTGTCTTTGGTGAGTCCTCTCAATCCCCCCAACACACACACACACACACACACACACAATCCTTTCACCTGTATTCCAGTTCTTGTATGCATAAATAATCTTTTAAAAAAATCACTTCCTGTACCTCCCTCTCAGTTGCTCATTCCTTCTACCAACCATCACCATAGAGTACACATTTTGCATGATGCACTTATCACATATTTTATGGTTAATGGTGTATCTCTTTCATGGAATTTTGAAATCCCTTAAAAATTGAATTTTATTCATTTTTACATTCTTAATGTCTGGACGGTGCCTCACCGAAAACTCATGTTCAGTAACCTTTTTAGGAGAAATAAAGGAGGAAAGAAGAATGGAGGAAGAGATTTGAGCAGTGTCAGCCAAATGTGAGAAGGTTCTCCCTAAGCTCAGAAGTGTTTAGGGATCAGGGGTCATCTGTTGTCTCAGCTTCATTTATATTGAGGAGGCAGAGAACTGAGTCTGAGCCTTTTCTGAATCTGTCTTTTAGACAGATGAGCCCCATGAGCCTTTAATATCTACTCATACCTCTTCTGTATCTGGCACTGTTGTAGGGCCTGAGGGACAGCCAGCAGATAGACAAGGTCTCTGCCCTCAGGAAGCTTATGTTCTGGTGGGGAAGACATGCAGGAAGTTAATAAATGATCTCAGGTTAGGAAAAATGCTATGCAGAAAAACAAAGTAAGAGAGTTTGAGACTTACAAGAGAGAAACTGTTTTGTGTTGGAAGATCTGGTCACTATTTGATGAGGAAACCGGAGAGAGTCTACATGAAGTAAAGGGTGAGGCTTGCAAATGTCTGAGGAAAGAAGATTCCAGCAGAGGAAATTAGTGCAAAGACCATAAGATGGGAGAATATTTTGTATATTCCAGGAAATCCAAGAAAGTGCAGTGTATGTGGAGGGGGTGATTAGGCACGGGAGTTGAAACAAGCAAGCAGGGGTCAAGTTGTGTAGGACTTAATCAACCATGGTGAGGACTTGATTTATCCTTGGGAAATCATTGAAGGGTTTTGAGCTCTAATTGCATTTATGTGTTTAAGAGGTCATAGTGACTGCTCTAGAAAAGATACCAAGATGTGAAAAGCAGGACAGGCACTTAGAAAACCACTGTCATGGTCTATATGAGCTGATGATTTGTACTAAGGTGGTAGCTGTAGAAATGGTGAGAATTTGTCACCTCATGTCATGTTTTAAAAATAGAGCTGACAGGATTTAGTGATGACATAGATGGAGTGAGAGAAAAAGAGCAATCAAGGATGGCTCCTAAATTTGGGGCTTGAGCAGCTGGGAGAGTCATTTTCTGAGATGGTAAACATAGTAGGATGAGGAAAATAAGGAATTTCTCCTGAACACACAAGTTTGAGGTACTTGGTCTATGTCCCAGTGGACACATCAAGCAGGCAGTTGCATGTACAGGTCTGGAGCTCAGGGGAAAGGTACAGGCTAGAGATGACGTGGGGAGTCATTGGACAGGTGACATTTAAGTTCCTGGGCAAGTGCGTTTCCCGTTTGTTGCCAGTGACATCACACTGCCATGCCTCTGTATTCCAGGTCAGACACTATGACAGTCCCTACCTGGTGTACCACGAGAAGATCAAAACGAGTCGCGTGTTCATCCGAGACTGCAGCATGGTGTCTGTGTACCCGCTGGTCTTGTTCGGTGGGGGCCAAGTGAATGTGCAGCTGCAAAGGGGAGAGTTTGTCGTCTCCTTGGATGATGGTTGGATCCGTTTTGCAGCCGCTTCCCATCAGGTGAGGTCAAGAGCCTAAATCCGTGCTCTAAGGCTGAGACCATGGGGGCTTTGACATATCTTTAGGAGCTAATTGAGAGTGAACAATGAGTCTGTAGCAAGACTCAAGAAAAAGGGAGGCTGAGGTGCTTGTAGAGGTTAGGGCCTAAGAGGTCGAGGCAGCCCCAGGTAGGTGGGTGAGAAAGGTTTGGGACAGACACTGAGTGAGGTGTGACCTTGCCAATTGTTACACAAATTAGTATATGTTCACCAAAGAAAAATCAAAAAGAAAAGATGAACAAAAATAAAAATCATTTTGGTACCACTACTACCATTAAAAACATAATAAAAGGCCCTCCCTGGTGGCTCAAGCGGGTTAAAGCACAGCACTGAGAATCTAAAGGCGCTTCCGCATGAGTTCGATTCCTGCCTACCCTGGAGGTGACCACATGGCGTGGCAGACCTCTCCTGACCCGCCCGCTGCTCCCCTCAACAGTGTACTTCATCGATCTGCCTGTTCTGTTCCCCGCTCTGTCTCTGGTGAAGCCTCTCACCGCCCCTGAGCCTCTGGCCTGCACCCCAGTTCTGTATGTACAAATAAATAAATCTTTAAAAAATAGTAATAATAATAATAATAAAACATAGCAGGTCTAATTGCCCTTTTACTGTCAGGACACAATTATTCACTGCATGGAGTCTCTGGAGAAAACATTTAGGGAGAATATATGTTTAGGAAATAAAATTTTTTTTTTAAAGGTTTATTTATTTATGCATACAGAACTGGGGTACAGGCTAGAGGCTCAGGGGCGGTGAGAGGTTTCATCAGAGACAGAGTGGGGAACTGAACAGGTAGATCAATGAAGTACACTGCTGAGGGGAGCAGCGGGCGGGTCAGGAGAGGTCTGCCACGCCATGTGGTCACCTCCGGGGCAGGCAGGAATCGAACTCATGCGGAAGCGGCTTTAGATTCTCAGTGCTGTGCTTTAACCCGTTGCGCCACCAGGGAGGACCTAAAAATTCATTTTTACATTTGAATCTGAAATTTGAAATTTTATGTTATAAGAAGAAATACTGATTCAAACATTAAAAGGTATTTATTGCAATATTTAACTGTAACCTTGAGATAGTACAATCCAATACAAAGATGTGAGTCATGTGGTTTTAATTTCTCTGGTAGCCACAGCAAAATTAAAAGAAATAAAAAAAAATAAGTGGGGGAGAAACAGTGAAATGAGTCTGCTTTTAAAATCTAATATGTCCAGAATATTTTTACTTCAAAATATATAGTTGAGGTATTTTACTTTTTTTTTCATACTAGTCATCAAAATTAGGGGTGTGTGGGCCCTCCCTGGTGGCACAACGGGTTAAAGTACAACACTGTGAAGCTAGCTGCAGATGCTTCAGCACGAGTTTGATGCCCACCAGGGAGGTAACCCACATGGCCTGGCAGACCTCACCTGTCTCTCCCACTGCTCCCCTCAGCAGTGTACTTCATCAGTCTGCCTGTCCTGCTCGGCACTCTTTCTAGTGAATCCTCTCACCACCCCTGCACTTCTGGCCTGTACCCCAATTCTATATCCATAAATAATAAATAAATCTTTAAAAAATATTAGGGATGTGTTTTACACTCACTTGGCATAGCCATTAGGACCGACCACATACTACGTGGCCATTAAACCAGTGACTGGTGGCTTCCTAGGACTGCTGTAGGACAAGGTCGAGAGTGCCAGGCAAGCTGGTCTGATTCAGCAACTCAGTGACAAAAGCCTGGCTGACCTTGTGGTAGCAAGGCGACTCCAGGCCTGTCTTAGTGCAACATAATGTGCTGAGGACCTGATTTCCTAAAAGCTCCACTAAACCTCCTTTCCTCACCCATTTCCGATAGCCAGCGAATGTTTAGATTACCTGAACATTCTCTGTGGCAAGGCACATGCATGAACTTGATTTAGGTCAGGGTACACACTACACAGTGGCTGAACAATGGGAGAGGGGCAAAACAAATGTTAGGAGGTATCCACAGTGCCACTGCATTGTAAACATAAGCAAAATGCCATCAAAAGAGGGAGTTCTTTTGTGTGTACAAAAGTATAAAACATATCCACAGATTAAAGACATTTTGGGGGTCTGTTTAATATCTACCACTAATTCCCCATTTTCCTGCCTCTCTTAGAGCAAAAAAGTTGGTCAAAACTTTAATAGGGAGAACACTGCATAAAAGCCATGCTTCCCAGATTTAATTGTTTAAGAAACATATGATAGAGGATCCTTTTTATAGTGGACTCCATTTATATTGTAGAGCTAACTCTGAATGAACGTTCATATAGTTGCATCAGGAAATTTTAGGCCTCCCTGGTGGTGCGAGGTGTTAAGTCTCAGCACTGTAAAGCTACTGGCAGCCACTGCGCACGAAATCAGTCCCCAGCCAGGAAGCTAGCCCACACGGCACAGCAGAACTCTCCTGGTACGCCCACTCCTCCCTCAGCAGTTTCTGTTGATCTGCTTGTTCTGCCCCTCATTCTGCCCCTAGTGAATCCTTTCACCATACACACCTCTGGACTTATCCCAGCTCTTGTATGTATTAATAAATAAATCTTTAAAAAAAGAAAAAGAAATTTTAGAAGCTCTTTTGGAATGAAAATGTTTTGTTTCTCTCCCCCGCCCCCAATCATAATGTAGTTAAAACAAGGACCAGAACTCTAGATGATGAAAATCATAATTGAGGCAGTTTCTTCAATTGCTTGTTGGTCCAAGCACTGCTGAATGTACAGCTCTCTCCCTAGGTGGCTGAACTAGTGAAGGAACTTCGCTGCGAACTTGACCAGCTGCTCCAGGACAAGATCAAAAACCCGAGCATAGATCTGTGTACCTGTCCTCGGGGATCCCGGATCATCAGTACAATTGTGAAACTTGTCACCACGCAGTAAAGAGCAGTGTCAGGAGAGACCTATTGCTTGCCTGCTTCTTGCTGACCTGGAGATCGCAGCAGGACCCTACCTCCGGCTGTGGCTGGCTCTGCCGAGTCAGCAGAGGCACCTCGTACCTTTAGGGAAATTTCTAGACTAAGTATTCCCAACAAAGAGGCCCCACCTAGCACAACTTGGAATGTCAGTGTATGAGACCTTCTGAAAACCAGCTTGCCTGTATTTTTCTGCAACTATCCTGGAAGGCATGAAATTCACCTGATAACATAAAAGTGAGTGTTTATTATAATTCTGTTTCAATCTATGTGTTCCTTTTCTTCTGCTTCTTACTAGAATGAAAAAAGAACATGAGGGGAAAGGCCAATTTGGTTTTCAGTCCTAAAGGCTCAACTCAGAGTCAGAACAAAGAAGGGGGAAAAATGGAATCAAAACAAATCATGTGAGGAAAAAAAAAATTACCATTTTAGGCTGTTGATTACTGGATAAACTTTATTTATGAGGGATTTTTATTTTACCTAATTAAAGGTCAGCCTAAATAACCAAATTTAATGGGCTCTTATTTGGTACTAAAACATGAACCAGCCTTATCAACAACATTCTTATTCTTAAAAGCAGATCATGTGTCTGCTGGGTGCCTTCATTCTCCTTTGGTTTTCCATTTAGGAATCTTTATCTCACCCAGACCTAATGACCACATTTCACAGTGCCTGGAGAGGAATTTAAATGGTATTCTGAGCATGGGTTGGCACAGTTGAGATAGAAAAGGTCTGGCTAGTGCCAGATTTACAAGCATAAAAAAACCTACCATGAGGCTGCTTACTGCCCACCACTACTTAGATTATGGGGCGCAAGCATTTTGAAAAAAATGTGAACACACTTGTGTCCCCCTGAACATTTATCGGTGTGCTCAGGAAGACCCCCAAAGAACATGTGTTCACCTTGCCCTCAGGTGGTCACTCCAGGTTTCATACTCTAGGTAGAATTCAGACTGATCAGAGTCACCTCAAAAGGGTGTTTTCTTGATATTATTTTAGTTAACACTTTCAGGAAACCTAGACAGACCAAAATTATCACTATCAAATGTGTTTAAGCTTCAATGCACTTGCATCACTTAGAGTAAGCAGTATTGTTAAAAGGTGTTAGTTCATGTCATCACTTTAAATGAAAACTCACGTATGCATAGAGCCACAGTACCTGAGTTCCACCTTGATAATGAAACCACACTGATCGTTACAGAATTAGGCTAGGACCTTATGAAGAAATGGAGAGAACTGCACTAGTCCCCTTAAAATGCTTTTAAAAGCAGTGTTGATTCTTGGTGCTGTAGAGAAGCTCTTGACGCTCTGGCTCCAGCCATCTGTGCAAGGGGCCTGTGGTTTTGCACGTGAGCTTGCTGCAGAAAATATGCAGGGAAGCATTAATGAGGAAAGTTTTCACCCAAGTGCTGAGAAATTGCTCCCTCAGGCAAGCCATTGTGGGCACTTGCAAATGCACAAATCCTGTCGTTTTATAGATGTGGCCAAATGTGAAAAAAAGGTGGGAAACCTTGACTGAAGGCACTTAGAAAGAATCCTCACACAAATAACTAAACTTCTTAGAGTCACCATTAGAATTATGGAATGGAAATTAAATAGAATTACCCCTTTGCAATTAAAGATCAGAATGCAATATAATATTTCAAGGTGAAACTAAATTTCTAACTCCCAACAAGGTCATCAGCATTTAATATTCATTTTGTGATGAACTCTGTATATGGTTTCTTAAATATTTCACTTTTACTGGAATCTAGCTAGACAATACTAATAAACTACTTGCTACAAAATTAGTTTTCACTACTGTTTTGTTACTATGTAAATGGGAAATAATCAGAAAATGAAAACAAATAGCTGGACATTTGCATAGGTGGCCAAGGCACTGGTATTGTCTTCTTGAGTTCCAGATCTGAATATTACAACTGAAGCTCCCTGAGAGGTAATGAATTTTGGTCTTTATCTCGCATTCTATTATCTGAACAGTTTAAACCACATGTTGAGGCACACAGCCTCTGGAACTGGAGGCACATGCTAAGTGTTCTCTTTGCTTTCTAGGCAGCGGTCTGAATGTGTCCCAAGTGGTAATGATAAAATAAGATCTTGTGAAAAGTACTTTTATTATAAAGCTTAGTATGATTTTCAGATGCAGCCCCAAGTGGCCACCACCCAGCTGGTCTTGTGCTCACTGTTGTACTCTCAGTTGGGCTGAGAGCGGGTGAGCACAGGCTTCACACTCTGAGGGTATCTTGTGAGTTGCCACCCAAATAATGGACCCCTGAGGACAGCGGAATATGCTCCCATTGCCATTACTGTTTGCAGATGTCTAAATAGTGGCTGGCTCTTACCTCCCAAATCACACTGAAATTAAGCATAATACCTAGGGCTTCTAGTCTTGCAAATGCAGAGGAAAACTCAAAATATTTAGCCAGTTAAGATCTGCAAAGTGAGCCTTTGTTTTCAGAAGTGAGACCTGGGTGATGAATCTGTCTGTCCATATTTGAGGACTCCCAGGGCAAAGCGCCTCGGGTAAAAGCATACAAACAAACAGCTAGTGTATTTTGTCACAGCATGTTTGACTGTTGTAGAACAGGCTTCTCCCAGGTCTTACAGCCTCTCCAATTAGGACTGTGCAATGAATATGTCAACAGTAGACTGCAAGGTCACGTGTCCTCCTGGCATCTAGTGGTTAGAAGCCAGGGGTGTCCACAGTGTCCGACAATGCAGCCCATCACCCCGAGTGCCAAAGTGGCGAAAACTGTTTAAAGAAAAGGAGAGGTGCCCACTCATAAAGTCTAGTTACACGTATGCTCATAGTTGACTCAGAAAACATATATATATTTGGACTAATGAAAGTGACATCTCTGCCAAAGCAACTCTAATATAAACACACTGTGTGAGTAAGAATTTATGATAACAAAATTATATATACAAATGGGGAAGGCCAGGCACAGATTGGCAGGGGTACTCTAAAACATTTTTCAAAAATGTTTAAAATTTTTGTTTTAAAAATCACTCATTTTGAAAATGTGAAAGGTTAACCAATGCTTTTTGAAGCTATGACTTGTGATACTAAGACCACTAATACTTACCACTGAAAACTCAAGGTCTCACTCTTAAACATTAAGATGTTTAAAATCACCAAACATACACTTAACCGTATGTTTGTGTTATCAAAACAAAGTTCAACCTCACAGACTTTGGTCAGACTATACTAAAACATAATTAAGATTTAAATTTCAAAAAGAGGAATGAAAGTCAATAGCTCTACAGGTATAGAACTGTAGGACACTTCAGAGAAGCCTAATTAGGAATAGCCTAATAGTCTCTAGGCTCAGTAAAACTTCCCCTAATAAGTATAATGGACCAGGCGAGAAAAATAATAATGAACAGCCATATACCAGAGACATTTTATGGGGGTGGAGTGGGGAATGGGATCAAAAACGGTTGGGGGACGGAAGTGCACTGGACTATGGTGATGGCACATGGGTGACTTGGTGATGGGAAACACATGGGGATTACAATTGAGATGAAAAAAAAAATGTACAAAATGATGTAAAAATAAACATTATTAAAAAATTATAAACACTGATATTTAAAAAAAAAAAAAACAATTTTCCCTAATGTTGCAACTGTTTTAGGACTGTTTTAGGACATTCAGGAACTGAATGTCAAAGATCTCTCGTGTTTATTTAAAAAAAAAAAATAAAGGTTTATTTATTTTATGCGTACAAGAGCTGGGGTATCAGCCAGAGGTGCAGGGTGTAGGGGCAGTAAGAGGATTCACTGGAGACAGAGTGGGGCACGAATCAACTGAAAAATACTGCGAAGGGGTGCAACAGGTAAGACAGAGGTCTGCTGCTCCATGTCATCCCCCTGGCCAGGGATTCAATTCTTGCTGCAGTAGCTGGCAATAGCTTGATAGTGCTGTGACTTAACCCCTTGTGCCACCAGGGAGGCCCCGTTGTCTTTATAAACCAGACCCATGCTATCCGGTGGGCACTGAGGGACTATCCCAGGTGATGAGGACCTAGTGTACTGATTATATTCCTGGCACAAACAGTGTCTAATTACAGGCGTTTCTGTTAGCGCCACCCTTCTGTTTCTGAAATTCACCTGTGTACTTTTCCCTTGCAATCCCAACTGTCCCCATGGTTTCTAGTTCCTTTTGTACAGTAAGCATGACTACAGCTCAACTAATTAAAGCGTGTGATCTGATTAGTTAACCTGGAGGCCTGTTGTCCAGCTTATAGCTAATGTGTGCTGCATGGCTACTGTCTCTAGTGCCTGCCTCTCGCTGCCTTGCACCCCAGTTCTTCTATGCATAAATAATAAATAAATCTTTTTTTAAAAAAAAAAAAGACCATTCTGCTTGGTAATAGAAGCAATTAAAGTACATGCTGAAATGATTAGAACTGGAGGAGAGGGAATTATGCTAAGCAGAGTAAGTGAGAAGAAAGACAAATATCAGATGATTTTACTCATACGAGGAATATAGAGAAGATACACAAAATCAAGCCAAATAAACCCTAGAAATATGATAAAAGTGAGGCTTCCAGATGGGGATAGGGAGCAGGGTGGAGGGGACCCATTGACCTATGGTGGCCTGGTGGCGGGTATGGTGTGGTAACATACATCTTTAGAAGTGTGATCCTATACTCTGATCATACAGTGTCATAGACTGTTACAGTAATAAAAAATACAATTTTTTAAAAGTGTGTATGTTGTAATTAGTCTTTCATCATTCTGATTTCTCTCAAAATGTTGTAACCCTTAGCCCTGACAACTACCTGACATTCTAGAATCTACTTCAAAAGGCATAAAATTTCCATTGCTTCTTATCAAATAAAAGTTATAAAATGATTTTAATTGTTCATTAGCGATTTTTCTTAAATGCCTGGAAAAATCCATTTCAGCCATTACATTTTTAGGAGAAAGTAGAAATTTAGGAAATCAAATGGAAAATAGCAAGAAATCAATGCAAGATCAGAAACTGTTCCAAGGAAACCAAAACAATTAATGAAAAGTCCTAACCAGCTTTTTATTTTGAAACTTATTCTTGATACCACCCCAGTTTGTATGGGGCAGAGCCAGCTATGGGGACAAATTGCCCTCCGGAACCTGGAACCAGCGGGATCTCAAACGGTGAGTTCAAACTCCAGGGAGAATCTTAGTTGAGGAGTTAAGAGGGTGGGAGAGGGAGTACTCCCTTAGCAGGCAGGTTTCCATGGCAAAATTGCCCTCTCCAGTACTCAGGTTTTGTTTGCAGGCAAATTATTTAAACAATCAGAGGATTCAGTTACCAAGAAAGTCTCCTTCTTCGGCTCATTAGTCTGACAGCAAATGATTGTACCAACACTGGTGCACCTGTCCCTGGGCTAAAACCCAAGCCAACTTTCCCACATAGCTTCTCTTTTCTCAAGACTGCCTTCATTTTGTCAGAATTATTTCCATGCTAAATTTAATTTGTTCTTATTCCCCCTCTCTCATTTGCTTTCTGAAGATAGGCCAAGGTTTGGAAAGTTACCAGGAAAAAGACCATGTGCTAAATTTAATTTTAGGATTATGGAACTTCAAAGCTGTGAAGCAAGTTTTTTGCTCCTCCAGTCTCTACACTGTTTTTGCAAGTGTGGCCTGGAATCTGCAGCATCACCTTATCTGAGAATTTGGTAGAAATGCAAATTCCTGGGTCCCAATTCAGTAACATGTCTTACAGTCTTTGATTCCAATGCTTCTTAAAATAGAAGCTACATCCTGTTACTAGACAATGCAAGAAAATAATTCAGCTATTATCAAACTGCACCAAAGACTCCCAAAAGCCTAAAAATTTAAAAGTATTTCTTTGCAAAAGTACTAACTCTCTTAATATATAAATTCCAAGGGACATAGATGAGAAAACTGAAAGTTCATCTCCTATGCAAAGACAGGGAGAATGGGGTGGGGCAGGCCCAGAAAGTGCCCTGACTACTGGCAGACCAACCTAGTTCAAGTATGTCCTAGGCGGGGCACACTTTTCTCCATAAGTCAAAACATTTCTGTTGCAATCCTCAACTCTGCCCTTACGGCATGAGAGCAGCCGTGGACAATACATACATCAGTGGGTAGGGCTCTGTTCCAATAAAGCTTTAGCGAGTGGCGGCAGCAGCAGACTCTGTTTGCCCCGAGGACCAGAAATTTACTGACCCATCTTAGGAAGTCAGGGGCTCAGGACTAATCTGACGTCACTCCAGACGTGCCCCTTAAAAGACCCAAGACTGTAAGTACTTTTCAGTCCAGAGCCCTCCTTCTACAGTCCTGTCCTCTAGTCAGAGGGCCAGTCGCTTAGAGAGAACTAGCTGCAGCAAAGTGGCTTCTGGTACTCTCCACTCAGCAAAGCCCGACCTGGGAAATGTAACAGGCAGAAGCACTACCGGAAGTCCACTAGCAAAGGACCTGGGTTGAGTTTAACAGCAGAATACTGTGTCACCTTTCTCCTGAGATATCTGCCAGTGCTCACTTTCAAGGTCTAAAGATATATCAAGATTTTACCAACTGGCAAAATTTTCAAATTTCAACTACCAAAGAATAGATTCTGATTAAAAAACTACCTCACCATTATACCAGTAAATTATGCATTTTAAAATAGGCACAGTAGAAATACAAGAGATTTAGTAAGTCATGTTATATTGACTCTAACATATTTTCTACATAACATTTCTTGCCTAATAAAAACGGAGGTATATGGCCGCATCAAAAGACACTTAAAATTCTGACATCCCTGTTCTAATTTTGTTTTGTCTGAAGCCATTCTTGACCCAGTTCACTTAGTAACACTCATAATCCAAAGCTTTAATTTTCCCAAAAACAAAACATACATATTCATGTACCTTGAAAGTCCTGTAATATAACAGACTTAACATTCAATACATTGTATTGGAAAAAAAGATGTCCTCAATCAACGCCTCCTATTTTCAGCCTTTCATTGGGAAGCTGCAAGATGTCCTCGAATAAGATCCTGAACACGGGACAAAATAATCTCATTAGAACTGCTGCAATTTTCTGGGCCATATGGGGGGTCTATAGTCAAGACCCCAGCCACACAGAGAGTCCTTTGCAAGTCGCCCTGTTCCGTGATAGGAATGTGGTTCTTTTCCAGCCATTTCTTTAAGCTGTTCTTTCTCTTTTCCAGATCCTCAGGGCTGTATGCACTGCAGTCTCCAGACATAAACAAGTGCATCAACTTCTCTCTTACTCCATCGTCTCCTTCATTCACAATTTCAACAAACTGCACGGCATGTCCCATAATTCCGGTCACAGACATGCTGCCATCTTCAAGGAAGTTCACGAGGACAATACTTTGGAGGAAAAGTAAGTTCAGAGAAGATTTGCAAAAGAAGAATCTAACAGTCCACAAAACTACAGGGGAATCTGGAATAAGGCATAGCCAACTCCAAAAGGTGACTAGAATAACAGGAAGTATGCTTCCCCATTTAAAATTAATCACCCGGCCACCCAATTGTTTTAATTTGTTCAACAAGTATTCACTGAAAGTCCTAAGCATTTGAAACTTTTCTTCAACCTAAAGCTAAGTGCTGTGAGATGCAATTAAAGCATTAAAAAGTTTAAGAATGCCTTAATTGTGTGTTAGAAGTCAGGACTTGGATTTAACTTTGAGTTAAAATACAACAACTGAACAATTCCCCTGCCCCCCAAGCAGACCAAAGGAAAAAACCCACAAAATTAATAGAGTAGAAAACAAGGTCTCCAAAGCCAAATTAGTTCTTTAAAAAAATACGTATAATTTACAAACTCAGCCAAGATTAATAAAGATTTTAAAAGAAGGCATATACAAAGAGCATTAGGAATAAGGCAGCAAAGAATAACAGTGTAAATATACAGAAAAAATTTATGCCAATAATTTTGAAACTTATCAAAAAACTTCCCAGAAAACAAATTTCTACTGATTCAAAAAAAGAGCGCAAACAGTCCTATAATCTTTAGTAAAACATTCCCATGGGGGTAAAGGGGTAAGGGCTGGCACATTTCATAAAGTTTTCAAGAATCAAACATTTCTAACAATTATTCTAAGAACTATATAAAGGGATTATGCCTTGTGTGAGGAGACCAATGTAGACTTGATACCAGAAGCACAGGAGGATAGGATTAAAAAATAACTACAGGCCCTCCCTGGTGGCGCAGCAGGTTAAAGCACTGCACTGAGAAGCTAAAGCCACTTCCGCATGAGTTCGATTCCCGCCTGCCCCGGAGGTGACCACATGGCGTGGCAGACCTCTCCTGACCCGCCCGCTGCTCCCCTCAGCAGTGTACTTCCTCCATCTGCCTGTTCTGCTCCCCACTCTGTCTCTGGTGAAGTCTCTCACTGCCCCTGAGTCTCTGGCCTGTACCCCAGTTCTGTATGTACAAATAAATAAATCTTTAAAAAAAAAAAAAATAACTACAAAGTAGGGTGTCCCTGGTGGTGCAGGGGTTAAAGTCTCAGCACTATCAAGCTATCACCAAGAGTTAGATCACACTCAGTCTCTCAATTTGAATTTGTGTGATGTTACCACACGTGTGAATTTGTGTGATGAATTTGTGTGATGTTACCACACGTGGTGCAGCAGACCACTTACCCACTGCTCCCCTCAGCATGTTTCTCAGCCTGTTCTGCTCCCTACTCTTTTGATGAATCTTCTCACCACTCACCCCCACCTCTGGCCTGCACCCAGTTCTTGCACCACAATAAAAATTTTAAAAATCCTTTTAAAAAGTACAAAGTAATCTCACTTAAACATGCAAATGTGAAAACCCTAAATAAAATGTTTATAATAAGGGGCCCTCCCTGATGGCACAGTGGGTTGGAGTGCAGCACTGTGAAGCAGGCGTGACTGCTTCAGTGAGTTCCATCCCCTCCCAGAAACCCTCCCCAGAGGTGACCAAATGGCTCAGCAGACCTCTCCTGACCCGCCCACTGCTCCCCTCAGCAGTGTACTTCATCAGTCTGCCTGTTCTGCTTCCCACTGTCTCTGGTGAATTCTCTCACAGCCTCTGCACCTCTGGCCTATACCCCAGAGTTCTGTATGGATAAATAAATAAATTTTCGTTTTAGTTCAGAAGTGTTCAATTCTTAAAAAAAAAACTTCAGTAGTCTTCAAAAGTTCATAATCATGAAAAACAAGGAGAGACTGGAAAACTGTCACAGATTTGAAAAAACTAAGGAGACAATGATTAAACATAAGATAGGATTCTAAGATTTGAGCCTGGAACCAAAAAGGCCATTAGTGGAAAAACTGGTAAGATCTACATGGCTATGGCTTAGTTAATGCTGACTTTAGTTTTGACAAATGTACCATGGTTATGTAAGGTGTTATCATTAGGGAAAGCTGGGTGCAGGCTACTCTGTACTTTCTTTGCAATTTTCTTGTAATCTAAGTAGAAAGTGTGTGTTTATATCAATACCATTAAAATAGCCTGACAAAAGATCAATCTAATCCTCATCAAGCCTCTAAATATGAGTACTGATTTATAGGCTATAAAGAGAAAAAAAAAGAACATGGTAAACTATACCAGTGAAAATGCAGAGCTAAGTTCAGAATGTGTTCAATTCTGTAACACACACCTCTGTCTCTTCAACAAATAAATGACATGGAAAACTGAAGAGGGAGAAAGTGAAGTTACAGAGTAAGTTACTTAAGAGACATCACTCAAACTGATACCCAGTGTAAAAAAATACACTTGCAACAATCAGGAAAATCGGAGTTCAGACAGGGAATTAGCAAATATTAAAGTTATTATTACTTTTGCCTGGTGTTATACTGGCATTGCGGCTACATTCATTAGAGTCCTTTATCTGGTAAAGGTTATATTTAATTATTTATGAATAAAAATATATGATGTCTGTAATTGGCTTTAAAATATTTGGAAGAGGGAGATAAAATTAGGCTATTCTCTTCACATTTGTGTATGTTTCAAATTTTCTAATAAAGTATAGTAAGAAATGTTCCATTTCTATGAACTTTACTGGTCTGACTAGGGTAACCATAGTTAGAACACTACTCAGATTCAAAGGTCGATAGTGGAGGATTACAGGTGCTTTGGTGTGGTAACAAGTCTGAAGAGGTGTGAACCTACACCCCTTAAATTATATACACCGCTGTAAACCAATGTTACCTCAAGTTGTGTGTATCTCAAGTATATGTACTTGACGTAACACTGGTTGACATGTGTGTGTGCGCACGCATGGGTATGTATCATTCTGATATGGAAATCATCACCCTTTCCTTCGTTTAGTTTGGATATAACACACAGACAGTAGAAAGGGAGCATGATTTCAGGACAGCAGAACCCATACTCACTTGGCAGAGACTGGATCTGTGGTTAAAACCCATCCTGTATACTCCTTCTCACTGGCTGTGACTCTGACTTCTTTGTAAGTGTAATCTTGCCATTCTAAGGGGCCCTTCTTCATCCATTCATTCATGGTTGCCAGCTCACTAGGTCTAAAATAATCACCAGTCTGGGTTAATACATATGTTGCACACAACCTCCATCCTAGGAATTGAGAATAACTACAAACGCCTCAAGTTCCAGATCAAAAACGTTAACATTTACAATTCAGTCTGAAGCCCAAAGGGACACCGAGTCGCAGAGGGGCCCAGTCCGAGTAACAACTGGCAGACATGTATTCCACCCCAACCCCTTTGCAAATGGCCTTCGCCAGGGCTTTGAACTCCGGTCGGCAGATGCTCGAGTCCTTACTACTACTCTGCTCCCCTTAGATCACAGGAACACACTCCACATCACTTACAGCCAAAACAGAAACAGAACTGCTCTGATCTGCACCCACTCAATCTCTGGCTGTGTCTCCGCTCGTTCCCGCGAGCCAGATGCCCGGAATTGAAGCCAATTTCTTCTTAAAATGTGCTAGCAGGCTGCGCACACAGGGGAACGGCCGCTAACGCCAGCTCAGTTTCACTGACCTAGCTGGAAGCCGCTGGTGTTTAAGGCCCTACTCAAACCCCGCGGTACTCCACGTTTAAAGCTGACAAACGAGCAAAATACGAGCTGAAACTCCTCGCAGAGCAAAGGCACCCACGCGGCGAGGAAGGACTCGGGCTGCGGAGCCCGCCTGCGCCCAGCATGCTTTGCGGCACTTCGTCACTTCCTCCCCCCAGAATTCTCTGTTTTGTAGTCTTCAGCCTTGGTAGGACCCACAGCCCGGAGACCCACCGCGCTGGAGGGGTGAGGAGGGCTGGTTCTGGGTGCTACCTGGCGCTGAAAGTTTTGTAATGGCCAGGGCCACCCATCTCCACTACCAGCACGGACATTTCCAAGTAAATACTTAGGAACAAGATTCTGTCAGCTCCTCGGTGAAAGTAGACTTGGAAGTGCATGTTTTTGACCAAGATTTCAAAGCACGTGAATCCACTAAATGAAACCCCAAAGCCCTGAAAAATGAGTGGAAAGTGCTTCAGGAGAAGAAAAGTAGAGTGAAGGTATTTCTTGTTTGTTTGGCAATTAAGATACTCCTTTGTATGTGTCCTAGATGCAATCGCCCGGGGTGCAGCAGCCCTAAGGGGTTGGCTTGCATGCGCTTTGCTGACTACTCGAGTAAAAGCCCCTTCCCTCGAAGTGGAGAGAGCAAAAGGCTGGCTGCCACCATAGATTTCTCTCTCACACACACACACCATAGATTTCTCTCTCACTCTCTCTCACGCACACACACACGGATTTCTGGTCACTCACCTAGTTGGCTTCTGGCATGGCCCAGAAATATCCCCGTGTTGTGAGCCTGACAAATGGCACAAGGTGATAAATGTTGAATTCATGCAAATCTGAACACCAGGGGATATTTACAAAAACTGAATTAGAGGACTATAAAACCACGATGTAGAAGATAGTAAAAATTATTCAGCATTCCCCTTACTACCTGGATTTTGAGTTTCAAATAATCTTTGAAGTATATCATTTATTATTGTGATTTCAAGTAATCTTTCCCATGACCTTCATTCATTAAATGAGTTATATGAATGTGTTAGTGTATTAAATTCACTTTTACCCTTTAAAAATTCTACTAATATACTAATTGTTACTAGAGTGAGAAGGAAAACAAGCCCTCATAAAAAATTCAGTCGAAAAGAGCTACAGCCCACTTGTGACAACTGATTATTTTAATTTTAAGTCTTCCACTGCAAGTGCAGTATACATAGAACTCTACAAGTAGAAGCCAGTCTCATGCCTAAATTAGATTAGGGCAACTCCCCTCCCCCTTAGGTTCCCAGCTGAAGGAAAGCGTTATTCCCATCTGCTAATAACAATCACTGACATCTGTCAGCCAGAGCCCAACCCACTCCCCAATGCAAGCTCTCAGAAATGCCCTCTCCCATAGCTGGTGTCCAGAGTCCAAATGATGCGACTTCCTTTTCCAGATAAACCCTTGGTCCCCCGGCTGCCACCCTCATACCCTTCATATCTTCTCCTCTGTACCTTCCTCTCCCTGAGCCACCTGCCTAACACTCTGGAGTGCATTCAGTTTGATTTCAGGGTGAAATATTTTCAAAGAAATTTTGAAGTGCACTGAAGAAACCTTAAATTTTATAAAATTGTCAGTAGTCATACTGTGCATTGTTCATTATCAGATGAAAATAGAAATCTGCTCTGCCCTAGCTAAACTATCACAAATTTCATTTCATCGTGTCAAACGAATCTGAGTACAATATTAACAATGGCCTCTTTTGAGCCAGCGTAAGCTGCTCTTGTACACCACTGACTATGCTTTTACGGCTCTCTGACGTAAATCTCTGAAGGTAGATTAGAAGTCACCTACCTTCTTTAGATACCAGTTTCCACATCTATAAATAAAAATGTGGAATTAGGTCACCCAAGATCCTGTTAGCCAAAAATTTTAATGATTAAATATCTGCAGTGACTTAGTGAACCCCATCAACCCTCTAAATGTTGGGGACATGTTTTATTTACTACTATGTATCCCAGCAGGCCAGTATGTCCATAAAGTGCTTAACTTGAATTTTTATTTGTTAAACAGTTATATAACACCTAACATGCCAGATGATTCTAAGAACTTTCAAATATTAACTCTTTATGAGGGAAGAAACAGACCAAATATGTCAGACAAGATTAAATCAGATTAAATTACGGTGAGACAAGATTAAATCAGTGCGTTAGAATGGATATAAGGAAATTGGACGTGAAGAAAAGGCAAATATAGAGCCTGTTCAACATGAAATTTTAGATAAAATACAGCCTCTCAAACATTACCAGGGCATTAGGGGCAGAAGGGAAATCTAGAGCCACTTTCCAAATGGAAATCCAGTTTTAGGGAAGCAGTGTTTCCAAGCTAAAGCCTTTCCCGCCTTTCCCAGCCCAGTCTTGCCTGCCCTGCCCTAATCCACCCACTCAGCCCTGCCCTGCCCTGCCCTGCAGGGCCCTGCCCTGTCCTGTGCCGCTCTGCCCAGAAAGGTTTACAACCTTGGAGAGGAAGATTGGTTTCCCTGGATGAAGATGGGATTGTTTTCTTGGGCTGAAGATACTTTGAACATTTGAGAACTCTAAAGTTCATTTAACAATCTTTTTTTCCACCACCACCTAAGGAAACTTGAAAGTTAAAACTTACTCTTCCATTTCTCTCCTAAGTCGAAGTGACCATATGAATATATCTGACCAATGAAATGTAAGTGGAAGTCCCCAGGAATGCTATTCCTTCTGAAATTAAAGATTTGGGCCTCCCTTTAACCGGGGTTAAAGTGCAGCACTATGAAGCTATCTGCAGCCACTGCAGCACAAGTTCAGATTCCCAGGTGGCCAGGGAAGTTACCCACATGGTGTGGCAGACCTCTCCAGTCTTGCCTGCTGCTCCCCTCAGCAGTGTATTTCAGTAGACCTGCCTGTTCTGCTCCCTACTCTGTCTCTGATGAATCCTCTAACCGGCCCCCCCACCTCTGCCTGTCCCCTGTTTTTGTATGCATAAATAAAGAAATCTTTAAAAAAGACAAAAGACTTTCAGGAAAGAGCCTTTTGTCCTAAAACCACCCCTCCTCCAGACGGCCTGGCTTGGACATAAGATAGTACACTCGATTTGAACAACTGTTATGTTTTCACCCCAACAAAATCTTTTTCTACTTTATTTCCGTAATAAGATCCTCAGGAGAGAGATCCTGCTTTATCTTTATATCTTCACTAAATAGTGCCTGCACATAGCAAGCATTCAACACTTACTTACTTCATCAGTTGATAAATTGGAAGAAGCTGGATAAAGTACAAAATCATACTGTTGGTGGATTTACTAATGTGGCTGAAATAAACTAAGAACAAAAAAATTAACAGGTCAAATTTTAGATTGGCAAAGCAGGTAATAAAGGAACCTTTACTTCTTTCAAGACAGTAATTTAATTCATAGTAGTGGTATTAGTACTAACAATAAATGTATATGAAATGACTGACACAGAAGTCACACCATAGAAACTACTAACCCCATCTTAGAGCTTAGGAAACTGAGGCACATAAGCCCAAGGCCACATAGTAAGTGAGCAACCCCAGGCAATCAGGTCAGAGCCTGCCCGCTAATCACTATGTCATACTAACTAAATAATGGGGAATGACTCAGGCACAACTATTCACCTAAAAGTCTATTTTTAATTTATGGGGAACATGTTTTTCAAAGCAAGCATTCCTAAATCTGAACTGTTAGTTTCTTACTGTGCTCCTATTGGTTGACTAGACACGCAATAGGTGCTTTAATAAGTGTTTCACTCCTGTATTATAGCAAACCAAACTTTCACAGAAACTTCTATTTCCAATGGTGACTGCAAGGAAGATACTCTTAGCCAGACTTGATGGTCTGGAAATGAGGGACTAGCTTTATCCCTTAAGGAGGTAAAACAATACCAAACTCTAGGTATTGCTGTTTATGGTTTAAAAGCTGCTGTTTACTCTCAAATTAACCCACTAATAAGTGCAACAGGATAGATGCCAGTGGTTTAATTATGTTTACGAGCTGGTCTTAATAGGAATTACACCTTAGGGTGGTTGAAAGGAGGACTGTGGGGTACCTAAACTCTTCCCGCTAGCAGTCTATTCTTTTCTTTTTTTTTCCATCCACTTGACCTCCGCTAATTATATTTAAAGGGTTAATAAGTCTGTTGTTGTGGGGGTAGGAGGGCAGATCCTTTATTCTGTAGACAATAACAGAGCCATATTTGGGATTCCTAATGACAAAAGGTAAAATAAACTACTGATCACAAGCATGAAAAACTTCTTAGGTATAAAGAACCAATAAAAATTGTTGTAGAAGAATTTATTCTATGGATATCTGCTATTCAGTGCATCATAGACTTGAAATGTCAGATGAAGTCTTTTTCTTTCTTTTACCAATTAAACACACACATTTACAGGGCACTGACATACCTAATGTAGCTATTGTCCCTATTTTACTTGCCCTTTCTATACAATCACTAGTGAGATGTTAAAAAATAATGAAGTTTTGGGAAATGTTATCTAACATTTGACAGATACACAACATAAAAGAGGAAGTGTTTTCTACAATGTACAGCTTGTGCCTTTTCTTTTTCATGAATGCACACCACTGTTTGCCAGTGTAAGACATTCCATTTATAGGTATGGAAAAGGAAAGAGGGAAAGGTAATGGCCAATTCCTTTCTTACCTGTTACTAGTCAGATTCTTGACAGATGTCTGTTCTTGGATTCTTCTACAAAGAAATTACTTTTCTACCTCTTACCTTGCTGATTGTAGGTACTTCATTCATAATGAACAAAACCATACTTTGTATCTAAATCACTTTTCTTTGTCTATTTGTTCAAGGGCTATATGAGCCCTAAACTGGAGTCGACTTTCCATGGAATAGTCTTTGTAGTTTTTTATATTGTCTAGGTTTTTGGTTGCACTGGTATAATCTCCTTTTAGATAGTATAGAATTCCCAGTTCATAATAAGTATATGGTATCAAATAGTGATCACATTTTAACAACTTCTCCTTTTGAATGACTCGATTAAAGTAGTATTCAGCCATCGAATATTTGCCTAAGTATTTCAGGCACAGACCTTTCAGGAAGGTTAACAAACTTA